AATGTGGCCAAAAAAAGAACAGTTAGAATAGAGCAATGGATAAGATGTCGTTACAGGCAAGTAATCCAATTTTTTCCGGCAAAGGAATGATAGAGGGATGATTTCTGGATCACAGCTGTTTCTGCAGTCACATAAATCAAACAGCGGATGAGAATAAAACAAAAGTTTCAAGAAAAACGGAGTATATCTAAAGTTGTGTTACGTACTATTTTATCGTTACTTGTCATAACTGATAACAGCCCCAAGAGCACTAATATGATTTGAAATAACAATGGTATTTCGTCGGCTTTAAAGCACCTTTCTTACCATTCCCAGTGCTTTGCGTTTGATAAGATGATGATGTTTTGAGAGCTTGGACCCAGCGGTCCGGTAGAATGGGCAATGCAAATTAAGTTAAACATTTTTTTAACAGAACAAATTTCTTAATCCAGAGATTTCCGCTAATTTTGCATTCATTTCACTCTCACAATGGCTGAAAGGACTGCGTGATCAGTAATAAAGTAAATAGCAAAGCAAATAAAGAAGTACCCTCCCACCGCCGGCCAAACGGCAATTTCGGTAACACGTCGTAGCATATCGCCTGCACGTGGCGGCTCCACCAATTCCTCGCTTTCCCTTTTCGTTAGGCGACGCGGCTGTATCGGTGACGGCAACAGCCCTTAATGTTTTCATCATATTTTAGGTAATAGTTCATCAGACAACGTTGTAACTGGCTCTCTCGGAAGTTTATTCGAAATATTCCATTTGATAATTCCAAAGTTTTACTACAGCCAGAGGATAATTTCATGACTGCCCAAAGCCCAAATGAATTAAATTTCTAATCCCCTTTTTGTAATGATGCAAAAATTTCAAGAAAAAAGGAAAGCAAGCATCGTACACAGAGGCGAAGGGCCAGAACTGCTCATCAAAGGAGGCAATTTTTGACCGAGATACATGAAAAGTTTCGAAAGAAGTGAAAATTTAGATTTCTGAGAATTCCCCGATGCCCAGGAGTGTTATTTTCTCGCTCTTCTTTTAACCTCCCATCGCAATTTTTCAAAAATCTTTTATCCGCGAAAAGTGCATTCTTTGAAGCTACAAACTAAATACTTTTCTGATTTTTAACCAAGGCCGTGACCGAAATGTTACAATTAACGGATTGTAGATACATGCAATAGGAGCCCATTCAGCGAACACGAGCAGCTTGTTACATTGACACTGCTTTCCAAATGTACTGCTTTTTTTCGGCCTTTTAACACATGCAATATGCCCCTCTGCGACAAACTAATGTGTGCATTTTTTTATAAAACTTCATTTAAAAATATAAATAGCATATTTAAAATAACACAGAATTCATTACCGTAATGTAACTCATAGTCACAATAAATTCTCTTCTGCAAATGCTAGCGGGTGATCCAGTTTCAAACCTCATCAAGATTGGCATCGATAACGAATAAATTATTTAAATATACTATGATAATTACTACTCTAAGTATTCCATCTTATTACTAATGTTGGCATGTTACTACTCCATATTACTGTTACGGTTATTATTACTGGCACTATTATTATGACTTTGTTTATTATATTTATCAATATTTCATTCATATTTCTTTCTTTATCGATAACAAGCAAAATATAAGCAAGCTAAATAATTAGCAGACTGTGGCACATTGCGGACCAGCAACAACCGCAGTGTGGATGAAAACGCACACTGTACCTTCCAGATAAAGACGATTGCAATACTTTTTCAGTACTCTTAATGACAGCTCTCAGGCATTAAAGTGAGCGATTAATTTAAGCCAACATATTGGATCTGAAACTCACCAGACATCGGCAACGCAAATGGATCCATAGTTTGGGTGATCGGCAGTGGAAGTGCGCGCCGCGCACTTGCAAAACGAGCTGCCATTTGCACAGCAAGAGGCGAAAAAAATTAAAATAGATTTATGGCAATTCCGAGTGATTGCATTTCCTCATTTTGTTTATCATCGAGTAGCCGCATTTCCTAATCGATGCCAGTGGCACAGCGGATTCACAAAACGATCCCGAAAAAGCATGTGCTTCCGAGGTGGCTGTTAATTAACGCATAAATCAGCCTATAATTCAGAAGCAACAAATAAGCAGTAGCACAGTAGCGACAACGGCGACGGCACGGTGGCATCCAAGACACTGCTATAGCAACCTACTCGCTCTCTGTGCACCTTTAAGGCTTTCAGCGCCGTTTTCACTTGTATGATGATAATAAAATCACAACAAATGTTGGTTAATGGTAGCACTCGCACCCTCCGCCCTCTCCCC